TTCAAGCTAGCTATTTAGTATTTTCCCTAATCATAATTTTTCTCTCTAAAATTTATCAAATTAATCTAAAAAAACTCTTTTTCTCTCTCTGTTTTTAATCTCATATATGCAATATGATTTTTTAGAATTTCCTCTACAGGGAAACAATTTTGAGAAGTGAAAAACTAGAGGTGAATAAATTTGAATTGATCGGTCAAAATCGACTGATTCATTATTTGTTTTATACAAATTGATTAAGTCGGATTGAATATTAGATTAATCGGATTACTTAATTTGAATAATATAGACTTGATTCGATCGAACTCGGATGATTATTTTGAATCCGTCGAAAACCGAATCTGACCGAACTTAACTAATATTTATTTTATATATTTTTTAGAATACTTACAAAAATGGATTTCATGATATTTTCAAATTATTATTTTTTTATAATTTAATAGTGGCATTGTATAAAAAAAATAGTTTTTTAAATTATTCTAAAATTTTGGTGATATGGGAAGGAATCAACATACGAAAGACAAAAACTTATACATGAATGACATTTGAGGAACAAAAATAGAACGGTTTTGCATGTGGTTGACATAAATTTACAATGAATGATGATTTATTGAAGTTGATTTGACATTTTATTCTTTGGGCCCTTTAGAACTAGAAATAGTAGATAGTTAGATACATACTAGTACTATACTCCAACACATCTAACTATCACTTCATGGTGGATAGATGAGTATTTAACTTGCCATCTCTAAATTGAGTTTCATGGTAGGAATGGATTAAAATATGTAAAGTTGATTATAAATTTATCATTAAAGATAAAAATGATGAGCATATGAAGCCATTAAATTGTAGCTACTTTATTCTTCATTTCTTGAAAGAATGAAGCAAGAGCTTGGTATTTTCTTTGATAATTTTAAGATAGCCAAAATTAGCTATACGAGACATTTCTGTTATTTATTTGTGTCATCATAATTAAACATCTATAACAAACCCAACAAACAAGACTTACCCTACTCACTCTCAATTGGCCCATGCATACTTAAAAGTATAAACAAACTTCAAATATTTAGAGACGATTGATAAATAACATCTACTCTTATATTCACTTCTTTGTCATACATAGACTTTAGTTACCAAGAAAAAACTAGGCCATGACACTTACCAAAATAAATCGATAAAAAAATTTATTGTTGTCCAAACAAAGCAAAATGCTTAGATTTGTGCTTAAAATGTGTAAAAAAAAATTGTTGTTGAAAACTAATTAATATCCTAAAATCCCAATATTATAATTTAAGTTTCTCGATTCATTAATTAACAAAATATTAATATTGATATCGTTAGGTTTGAATTTTTGACATATTATACGAGATTAAAATTCTAGATCTTACAGTTGTGTGTATGACTCACTGATTATTATCGTCACTTTGTGTATCGATAAAAGAAATTGAATTTTGTCTAATTTAATCAGATTTTAAGATAATGATTGCTTCTAATTTATTAGTTCATGTTCAAGTTTATCAGATTTTAACATATTGAATATTATGGAGGTCTTTGAGGGTATGTAAGGCAGATTGTCTTCCGTCATATCGTGGTTAAAAAACATCTCAGAAAATATTTGTCACGGTCAAACTATGATAAAATAGAATCTTTATTTAATTTGTCACAGCTAAATCATGGCTAACATATACAGTGCCTTCGAAAATAGTTGAATATAGGATTGGTATTCATTGCTTTGCAGGTAGACTGTCTAGAAATGTTATCATGTCTGGAAATGTGCTTTTAAATGGAAAGAAAAGAAGTCTAGACTATGGAGTTGTTGTAAGTGACAATAACATCATTCACATATATACATATTATGTGAATCTATTTTTTATTTTAATTATTCCTTGTTATATACAATAAACTATAATAACATATTTTTATGTATCAAACACTAATAGGCTTATGTGACACAAGAAGACATAATGTTGGGAACACTAACAGTCAGAGAGACAATATCATACTCAGCAAATTTAAGGCTTCCAACAACAATGTCAAAACAAGAGATAAATGACATTGTTGAAGGAACAATTACTGAAATGGGTCTTCAAGATTGTGCTGATAGGGTTATAGGAAATTGGCACTTGAGAGGTATAAGTGGTGGTGAAAAGAAAAGACTAAGCATAGCACTTGAGATCTTAACAAGACCTTGTCTCTTGTTCCTTGATGAACCTACAAGTGGTTTGGACAGTGCTTCAGCTTATTTTGTTGCTCAAACTTTGAGAAACATAGCTCATGATGGGAAAACTGTTATTTCTTCTATTCATCAACCGAGTAGCGAGGTTTTTGCGTTGTTTGATGATCTTTTTCTGCTTTCTGGAGGTCAGACAATTTACTTTGGACCGGCTGAAAATGCAGTTGAGGTACTTTTTGTATTGGCGTCGGATTAAGCATTGTGTTTCTTGGGAATAAACTCTGATATAACTTTTATGCAGTTCTTTGCGAAAGCGGGATTTCCATGTCCGAGTAGAAGAAACCCTTCTGATCATTTCCTTCGTTGTATTAATTCAGACTTCGACACTGTCACGAGTACTATGATGGCCTCCCGGGGAACACATGTGTGTAACAATTTGTTTTATCTTTTATTGATTTGTTGAACTGTAAACAGACGCTACCTGTGGCTGGATCGTAATTTCATCCTGGTTCGAGCGGTTTAAAATAGTTGAACTGTTATTGAGACGCGTCTATGGTACTATATTAATTTAACTCCTTTGAACGCAGGAACAAGAAACATTAGCACCGTCAATGATGAACTTATCGATAGCGGCGACCAAAGCAATACTCACAGAGAAATACCGTTGGTCGGAATATGCGACTTGTGCAAGAGCAAGAATAAAACAAATGTCAAATTTTGTAAGTAGCATTTTACACAGGATGTTGTAACTTGTAACCTAAGTCTTCTCTAATAACATGGAAATTTCTACTATATGAAATACTAAAGGCCGAGAATCGTGTTAGTTACAGGACGGGCGTGATTATGAAGGTAAAAGTAAGAGCCAAGCCAAATGGTGGAAGCAACTATCGACTTTGACTCAGAGATCTTTTGTGAACATGTCTAGAGATGTAGGGTACTATTGGATAAGGTTAACGATCTATGTTGCTTTATCTTTGTGTGTTGGAACAATCTTTTTTGAAGTTGGTTCAAGTTATAATGCCATTCTTGCAAGAGGAGCATGCGGCGCTTTTATATCAGGTTTCATGACATTCATGTCCATAGGAGGATTCCCATCATTCATAGAGGAAATGAAGGTACCGAATCAACCGTTGAGCAGAGCACTAATATTGTCGACTCTAACACTTAGTGACAAAGCGAAAGATACGTTTTCATTACTTGGTTTTTTTTCTATGTTGCAGGTTTTCAATAAAGAAAGGCTGAATGGATATTATGGAATCGCAGCCTACGTTCTGTCAAATTTTCTCTCTTCTTTTCCTTTTGTAGCAGTCATGTCCTTTGCTACCGGGACTATAACATATAATATGGTTAAGTTTCGTCCCGGGTTTTCACATCTTTTGTATATCTGTTTGGATCTTTTGGGATGTATTGCTATTGTGGAGAGCTCAATGATGATTATAGCTGCATTGGTTCCCAACTTTCTGATGGGATTGATAATTGGAGCAGGTTATATCGTAAGTGTACCATAACCCTTTAAAAAATTTAGTCATTAAAAATATTTGGCTTTAATCATAATTGCTTATAAAATCTTAGTTAATTATGGTTGGTAATTGAAATATATTGTGTGTGCAGGGTCTTATGATGATGACTGCTGGCTATTTCCGGCAGATCCGTGATCTTCCTAAATTCTTCTGGCGTTATCCAATTTCATACATCAATTATGGAGCATGGGGATTGCAGGTAAATTTAGAAGTATCAACATTTTTAAAACAATTCTATGTAAACTTTGTATAAAAGTTCGAACCCGCATCCCTGTAGTCTGATGTACCTGCACAGCTATCGAGCTATAAACTCTTCAAACCCTTGCATAATTATATGTACATGCCAATTGCAACTTTTAATGTGTTTGTGTATGATCTAACCTTATTGATTCTGGGGAATGCATGCAGGGAGCATTCAAGAATGACATGATTGGAATGGAGTTTGGTCCATTGATAGCTGGTGGACCAAAAGTGAAAGGAGAAATAATCCTCACAACAATGCTTGGAATGAATGTTGATTATTCAAAATGGTGGGACCTAGCTGTGGTCATCTTCATCCTTGTGTTGCTTAGGGTTATTTTCTTTTTCATTCTCAAATTTAAGGAGAAAGTTGTACCTTTCCTTCACAGTATCTACACAAAGCAAACACTGCAACGAATCATGAAGCGGCCTTCGTTCAGGAAAACTCCGTCGTTCGCTTCCAAGAGACACCAACCACTGCATCCATTGTCTTCTCAAGAGGGTCTCAACTCTCCATGTCATTAAATTCCATTGTTTCCTGATATAAATACACAATATTTTCACACAACATTTGGATACTGTTTATTTCTATATTATAGTTGACGTGAATAAAATATAAGAAACAGGGACACGGATTGAATATTTAAATTTTTACTATTTTCCATAGAGTTGTTTTTTAAATTATAAATTTCACAATTATTTATAGAAATTATACATTAGCTACAGTTAGTACTTGGCAATTCATATATCAATGCAAGTGTTGCATTCCCCTGGGCATAACATAAGAACTAGCTCGATATATTTTTTTGTGAAGTTATCAAACAATTGATTCATGCATTTGTAACTAGATGGCTACAAATATCCAAAAGGACAGTGCCAGAGAAACCAAAATATCCGACTAGACCTTTGAAAAGTATAAGAATTTTCCATGGTTTTTAATAATATCAAGACCTTCGTAAGTTTACACCACTAACCTAGTCATTTAAGAATCAACCTAATATCAACTAAAGTTATAGCAGAATATGGACCCATCCATCTGTGCAGCAAAAATTTGTAGCCCATGCTACTCTTCATTTGATTTCTTCTCCATTTGATTTCTTCTCGGCCAACTCTTCATTAGATTTCTTCTCGGCCGACTCTCCATTTGATTTCTTCTCGGCCGACTCTCCATTTGATTTCTTCTCATCCGATCCTTCGTTTGATTTATTTTCTTCTGATTCTCCATTGGATTTCTTCGCGTCTGACTCTCCATTTGATTTCTTCTCATCTGACTCCCCATTTGATTTCTTCTCATTTTCAACTTGATTGTCAAAACCATGATGAGGAACTTCAATCATTGGCTTGGGAATTGGCCGTTCATTGAAATCTTCAGGAAAAAATTCAAAGTCAGGACCAAAGTTGAACTTTACTGTGCAGTTTGGTTCATTTGGCAAAGTATACATTGAAGCAGCAGGAAAGTAACGACCACCATAGAGGTCCTTGAAAGCAACACCTTGGCATACACCATTTTTAAAGAAAGACATTTCACTTCCTGCAGAGAGGAGAATATTTGAAACCGAGTGAGTAAATTCATACTCAAAACACAACTTATAGCAGGAAATTTAACAGCTGTTCCATAATCAAGGGATATAATTGTTCAATGGCCATAGCATTTCAATTGTGAAGCTATGGTTTTTCGAGAGCTTGTGAAAAATAGTTCATTGTATGTTTATAAATTGCTTTCAACTTATTTTTACAAAGCTTTCCAACATAGGTAAAGTAACTTATAGAAGCAGTTCGTACACAGTTCATGCGGAATTTTCTCTCATTAATTTTTCAATTATAGAAACATGTAGATAATCAATTGAATGAATAAGCCCTTAATTAAGTTGTGTACCTAAACGCACCCTATAATTATGACTGATGGGCTCTGACAGTTTTCCAAGCTATAGAGGTTCCCATCTCAAGTAATCAACCACCCCCATAACTCCCAATTAGTGAATATTCAGATATTGAGATTGAGGAATTCAAACTGCTAAGTACCCTAAAGACTAAGACATAAATGTGGCAGCAGCATTGCACATATAGAACCAAATTAGGATCTAATTAACATCACCTTTGCATAATGTATTTAGTGGGTTTTATTGTCTGACAACTATAACTACCGGCCAAAAATGCATTGGAGGCATCTCAGTAATTGAAAAAATGTCAAGCCCGTTATTAAGCCAATCAATATACTTAAGAGCATTGATCATGGAATAACACATCCGTCAGTAGGCTTTAGAAGTATTATCATTTTATATTGAAAAGCAAAAGAAATACAGAGTCCTCAAATGAAGACCTCAGGAGAGCCATGGCTAGCATACATTGGAATGGAAGTGGTGGATGCATATGAGAATTTCCTCATCTGTCAATTGTACCCTCACCCCAACGTACAGATGCAAGTTTTAGATGGCGTTTTCATAATTCTATTAAGTCTTGCTAAATGTGTTTTCAATAAAAAGAAAACCTAGTGTGTACACTTCTATCTAATCTCTGTTGCAAGTTTCTGGGATCCAACGGGTGGAAGTTTTTGACATAGTCTCTCGTCTTCTATCTCAGGTCTTGTTTGTGTCTTTATGTTCACTCTCTTGTTTTCTCTCTGGATGATTTAGTCTCTGTTTTATCAAATCTCAGAAATTGTTTCTGAGTGCAAAAACATTTTTTCTTACGTTAATTGTTCTTCATATAAGTTGTTAACATCTTTTTAAATTTGTTCTGCAGGTCCTTTCTCATTATAGATTTTTCGTCTGATAGAATATACACAATACGATACAGGCACTAAATGGTACAGGAAACTTCAGAATAACAAGAGACGGAGCATATTAGATTCACTGATATATTAAGAAAGCAACTCGGCAGATGCTCTGCCAAGAAAGGAACTTGGGGCAGTGAAATAAAAACACAGCAACTCCGATCAAATACACGAACCAACAGATGCACAAGACAATAGAGCATGAAAGGATCTTCGGACTTATTGAAATGAGAGACACGACAATTCAGCAAGAAGCATGCGCAAACCAGAGATATGATGGCCCCAGCAGATGCATGAAACTGCAAGCCCTAGTTAGTGAACAGTAGGTCTGTCTATTTTGCTATGCAGTGTCATTTAGGAATGAGTGGTAAGCTTTTTTCCAGTGAAGAACACAAACTTATCAACAGTGCCATAGAACACTATTCAATCAATCCTCTCATAAAAAATTATTACTTTTCATCGATATACATAATAAAGCAATTACATAATACAACTTTTTGTAGATTTTCAAGGAAGAACAAGAGAAGCTGGACTTAAGGAACATGACATAAGTTTTGTCCATATATGAATTTTATCTGGGCCATAGCCAATACCCATATCCTATGTGGTGAGTTGAATAAGAAAATATTTTCAGGAAAAAACATTCAAAAGTAACTGCATACTTTCTAGAAGGGCACTAGAATGTTTCGTAGTGCAAGTGTTGGTAGCGTTGGTTTTAGATATTTGTTGGACATTGATTTATGAAGCACAGACATTCCAACACCGATAATGTCAAAAACATAAGACACCGACACCACTACATATATAATAGTATTTGAGCTTCATCTATCCATCTATTATTAAAACTTAAAAGAGTTAAAAATATTATAATCACAATTCATGTCTTTAATTATTTATGATAACATTGCTTCAATACATGTTTAACCATTTTAGATGCGTGCGAGATTTGTCCAAAAAATGTATAAAGTATGTGTTGAAACAAAGAAAAAAACAGATTTTTTGAAACACTTGTCTGAATTGTTTGACATGTGTGGCATGAGTGTCTTACAGGTGTTGTACGATACAAGTGTTGAACACCGCGACACTGACACGCCTACTTCATACTCATAGACATCGATACATTTCTATTTTTATGTATATGCATAGGGTTTTACTAACTTTAGAGTTTAGATATACACGAGGGATTCCATAACCAAGTTCACAGTCAAGAAGCTAAAAAATGTTTCCCAGTCCAGGTATTCACTCTCCTCACCCCTATAAAAACGAACTATCAATTTGGCCCGTAGATGATAAACTGGTAAAAATAAATTCTCAGTATCTAACATCTACACTCCGCTCTACAGTTAAATACTATCACAAGGTAACAAATCAATCAAACACCCTAACCATAAAATTAAAAACTCAACATCAAATAGATATGACAAAATAGAAAAGCATAGAAACAAAACAATAGAGTTGAAGACTAACCAGGCACAACTTTGGGTGGATCTTCCTTAGCATCTTGAGCAAATGCATACCTTTGTCCTTTATACCAAACCAACTGCTTGTTTTTCGGGGCATACTTATCTCCATCGGGCAAATTAATATAGAACCCAATAACATCACCTTCTCCATAACCTTCATCACCATACTTTTCCCTCAAAGCCTTATGAATCTTACTACCATCAATATCCCTATACCCAAAACTATTCCCATCATACCCAACAGGTGCCTGCAAATCACCCTTCTCCATAGCCCATCCTAAACGTGTGTGTCCAGTCTTCCCTAACCTCACAACCTTTATCTCAAAGTACCAAGCTCCTTCAGTTACCCCTCTTGTTGCCCTAACCATTCTATAACCCTTTGTGCTCCCTGCACTCAACCTATCCTCACTCAACTCTACTTTTTCCGCTTTGTATATCTTTGATAAACATATCTTCATATCCGGTGTATCGTCCGTTTTATCCGGGAACCTTGGTACCGGCGTTACCAGAACGCTGTCTTCTCCACCATTTGTTTGATGGTTGTTGTTATTATTGTTGTTTTTGCTTTTCTTTTTCCCTTTCCTTGTTGATTTCGTTGCCCACACATTGTTGTTCTTTTTCTTCGATTTCTTCACAGTTCCGTTTGCCGGCGTCGATGTCGTTGCAGTTGACGCAGCAGCATTTCCCGTCCCGTTGTTTTCCTCCGGCAATGACACCGATTCTTCTTCCTTGACGAGAGAAGACAGTTGCTTCTGCTTCTTCGGAGGCGGTTCTTCTTCATCTTCATCAGCGTCTCCTCTACTCTGTTTTGGGGAATTCAAGCCGTTTGATGCAGCTTCGTCGGAGGAGAGATCATCGGAGGGATCGAGCTCCGATTTTCCATCGTTTTGGGGTTCGGTGAGGGTGTCAGAAGGGGTGCTGGCAGTGACGAGAGGTGCGTATGTTGATTCCATATCGGTGGCAACGTAGGCAGCGGGTTGGTCGGCGGTGGGTGCGGTTGTGGTGGCGAGTGGAAGGTCTTCGTCTTCATCTTCTTCGTCTTTGTATGTTGCTTGAAGTGTATCCATTGGAATTAGGGTTTTGCGAGCAAAAGTATCGGAGAGATTCAATCTGAAATGGAGGGTGGTTCCGATGAGAGGAGAAGGAGGAGTGAGTATAGAGAGAAAATAGAAGAGAGTGGTGAAAATTTGGACACCCACGTTTGGGTTTTGGGTTGGGTTTTACTTTGCAGGCCCAATGGGCCCATAAAATCACTCTTATTAGCATTTCACTATGTAATGTCAATATAAATTTAAAAGCAATTTCTTAATACACTCTATTGTCTTCTTAGAAATCTCTGACGAAATGATAAAAATATTCTTATTTTAGGATATACATCTTCGAACGCATTATTTTTCATAAAAAATTTAATTTCGAAGATGCATATCCGAAATTATCCTATTTTTAACAAAAAAATATATATTTTTGGATATGCATCTCCGAGTAAACTTGATTTTTTTACGAAAAAATGTGTTTTCGGATATGTATATCCGAAAAGTTATCTGATGTGAAAACCTCAAAAAACCTTAACTTGCAATGGTGAGTTTAGATCATCAATTTTGAGCATTACTTCATGAGTACGTAGTTTTATTGATTGCAGATAGCAGAAGGAAAAAATTCTTCTATTTTAAGCTACCATTCCGATCATTGAATACCAAGGAGTTGTCATTCTCTACCGATATGCCAAAGTAGTTAGCAAAAATTTGTGAATGCATTCTACCATGGTTGTTATTTGACAGCACAATGGGTTTAATAAAATTTTATGGCAGAAGAATAACTTGTTTTTTAATAAAATGTCTTAATGTATCATAATTCATGTTACAATTCCGCAGTTATCTTATCAGCTCATGTAATTGTAAGCTTTTGTTGTCTTGATTCTGAGGATGTTGTGGAAATAAAGGTGATGACGGTCTTGCAAACAATTTCCCCATATAACTTAAAAAAAGACACAGTAGAGAACTTTTCGGATATGCATATCCGAAAACACATTTTTTCTTAAAAAAAGATTTATATGGAGATGTATATCCGAAAATACATTTTTTGTTAAAAATAAGGTAATTTCGGATATGCATCTCGAAAATTAAGTTTTTGTGAAAAGGGTGCATTCGGAGATGTATCTCCGAAAATAAGGGGCATTTTTATCATTTTGTCACGGGTCTCTAAAAAGACATAAGAGTGTATTAAGAATTTGCCAATTTATGTTATTTTAGAATTCTGACGCATCAAAACTGATCTTACCGGTGATCAAAACCTGTAATGAGCCAATAGATGACGTCTGCAAGGCTGGAATCAAGAAGGAGGGGGTGTACCTGCAAGTCACTCTGACGCTCAAGTAAGCAAGGGTGCAAAGAGATACAAGAGAGAGTTTGGGATTTTAGAGTGAATATTGAATATCTGACCCTCACAAGTGTGAGGGTTTATATAATGTCCTGATGCTTGGCTATTGGCCCATATTTTTAGGCCTGGATATTAGATTCCTCCAAAATATGTAACTGCCAGGAACTAGCCGTTATGACGGGTGGGGATGCTCGGAACTAGTCGTTATAGTGAGCAGAGAAGTACTCACGGGAAAGCGTGATTCTGATTGTTCCTGGGTGGCTATCCTCGTGCGGATGATAATGCAAGGACTAGCTTGTTTGAGCGGGAAGGAGTGGTCTTGTTGATCCTGGGGGCCAACCGACCACAACTCCTCGGGTGAGGAGCAGAAGGGACAAGTGACCCTTGTATGTCCAATAATGATTGGGCCAAAGCTATTGGACCATTTGATAACACCGAATCGCACTATGTTTCTGACTCGAATATCACATGTTTTCCTTAGTTTTATTATTGTTTTTCTAGTATTATGCCCTTGTTTCCTTTGTTTTCAGGTCACATGTCCTTTCAGAGCCTTCAGAGAAGAAACGAGTGAAAACGCCAGAAAAATAGGGTTTTTCCAAGAAAATACACAAATGGCGTCCAGCTCCGCGCCAGCTACAGGGAACGCGCTGACATGGCGCACTTTCACCCAAGGGCCAACTGCCACGTTCCCACGATCTCTCCATTTTCACTCACCGCGCTCGCAGGGAGGGTGGTCGCGCCCGCGGGGAGGGTGGTCGCGCCCGCGGCCTTCACAAACCATTTCCCGCTCAGAAAGAGTTGAGGGGCATGCTCGTCTTTACAGAGTTTTAGGATCTTCTATAAATAGCAAGTTCATTTCATTTTCGTTTTCATCCAAACTTAGATGCAAACTTAGATCCAGTCAAGTTACTGCTTAGGCATATATTACTACTTTGTAAAGTGATAATCTTCTCACATCGGGAAGTTATCACACTTGAGTGTGCGAGTTTGTATTCAAGTTTGGAGCACTTTGGTTGAAGTTTATCATACTATCTTTTACATTTCCATGACTTGTATCAGATTCAAGCCTCCGATTGGAGCAAGGTTCTAATTTAATTGCTTTCATTTATTTTATGCTCTTACCATAGTCTACATGTTTTATAGACTCTAAATGCTCTTACCATAGTCTACACGTTTTATAGACTCTAAATGCTCTTACCATAGTCTACACGTTTTATAGACTTTAAATGCTCTTACCATAGTCTACACGTTTTATAGACTTTAAACGCTCTTACCATAGTCTACATGTTTTATAGACTTTAAATGCTTACCATGTCTAGCTAAATTTATTAGGGTTAGAATGTAAGGATTGAATCATAACTATGTTCTGCATGCCATGCTAATAGAAATACCTTTGGGATGTTTTAGTTTTTAATACTGGTTTAAATGTGTTTAAAATTTTATGGGTAAGATCGAAAGTCGTCCATACTTGAGATTAAGCCAGATTAGTTCTTGACCAAACGAAAAGAGCGAAAGCAGTTCGTTTGGTTAAGTAGGATTCCTTGATATAATTTTAGAAAATGATTTTGAAACTATTTGCGGACGCGTTTGTGGGATTAAAATCTGATTCTTGGTCAAAAGCCAAGGATCTCTTTAAGTTAAGTTTTCCAAATTAAAACACTTTTTCACTAAGTCAAAATAACTTGTTTCTTAAAAATAGGTTTACTTCTTTAACGCGTTAGGCACCCTTTATAAGTGACAATAAAGGAATTTAATTTAAAGAGTAAACTCGGTTCTTAGTATGCGAAAGCTACAAGTTCCTGTTAAACAGTTCTTTGCTATAAATGGAAAATATTGCCCAAAAGTAAATAATATACATGCATGCTAGGACACTGTCTGATCTCGTGATTTACATTCGATCCCTTTTGTTTTATCTCTTTAATTTTATTCGCTTTTATTTCCCTGTACTGAACTCAATCCCTTACTGATCTGCCTTAGATAAACACCTTAACAATAGAGTCGATAGATTGACAATTGGTCTTTGTGGTTCGATAATCTTATATATTATTTCGATAGGCTGTGCACTTGCAGTTATAATTTAGACTATACAGTAAAAGCCCATCAAGTTTTTGGCACCGTTGTCGGGGACCAACTTTGCCAAATTTCGTACCCTTTTTGTTATCTCGTTTAGACTAAGGCTACTTATTTAGCCGGTAGATGCGTAGAAATCGTAGCACCGGTGACCTAATAGATCCTTTAGTAGAACCTGAACGTTTCGCTCGAGCCCGTCTCTTTATACGAAAGTTGAAGAAAGTTATGGCCGAGGACCGTAATCAAAGACCGCTTAAGGAATTTGCCCAACCATCTAACGAGGAACCTAGTTCTAGTATAGTAAATCCAGCTATAACAACTAACAACTTCGAACTAAAACCCTCACTATTATAATTAGTTCAACAAAACCAATTCGTTGGTCTCGCTACCGAGAACCCGAATCAACATTTGAAGGCATTTATCCAATAGGATAACACCCTCAAAGCAAATGGTGCCACATCTGAAGCAATATGCCTAAGATTATTTCCATTCTCTCTAAGAGGGAAAGCTCACGATTGGTTAGATTCCCTCCCTACCAATTCGATAACAACTTGGGAGGACCTTAGAAGAGTGTTCCTTGCCAGGTATTTTCCCCCTAGCAAAACCGCTATTCTTAGAAACCTGATCACTAGATTCACCCAAAACCAGGGAGAATCTCTATTTGAAGCTTGGGAAAGATATAAAGACCTTTTAAGAGTTTGTCCACACCATGGCCTAGAGCAATGGTTGATCATTCACACCTTCTATAATGGACTCCATTATAATACCAAAATGTCTATCGACGTTGCCGCAGGTGGTGCGTTGATGAAGAAACCTTACCCTGAAGCTTGTGCCCTGATCGAAGATATGGCCCAAAACCATTACCAATGGGGGGCAGAACGAGCGACAGTGGAGAAGAAGGAGACCCAAGGAGGGGTGCATGAGATAAGTAGCATGAACTTGATGCAAGCTAAAATGGACGCCCTAGCCTTAAGAGTAGATAACATATCCCAAAACCCTGCCACAGTAGCTGCACTCCACTCGGAATGCGAACTCTGTGGAACCCAAGGACATCCAACTTCAGATTGTTACCTGTTGAATGAGTCTAGCTCAGAACAAGTCAATTACACCCAAGGAAACCCGTTCTCGAACACCTATAACCCTGGATGGAGGAATCACCCGGATTTTTCCTATAAAAACAACAATCCAATCCAACATCCTAGAACACCCAGACCGCAAGGTTTTCAACCTCAAAAATCAAACCAACCTATGCAAGCTGTGCCACCAAGACCAAATCTTAGGGAAACCCTAGATACTTTTATCGCAACCCAGACTCAGCAAAACAAAGAATTTATGAACCAAAACGCCCATACAAATGAACTAGTAACACAACTAGCAAATAAGTTTGACCAAATGATGACCCATCATAAGATGCTCGAGACTCAGATCTCGCAAGTAGCTCAAACACAAGCCACACAAACCACACCTGGAGGACAATTCCCTGGACAAACTCAACCTAATCCTAAAGGACAAGCGAATGCTATCACTCAAAGAAGTGGAACCGCTTACGATGGACCGAAACTTCCAACGATGTATGTACCCGAAAAACCAAAAAAAGATAGCATACCTGAGGACCAAGTAG